GCCTCAACCTATTTTTAAAAAAGACATTGCCGTCCCCACTCTTCTTATCTCCAGCAGAAGACCAAGACATTTTTCAACATATAACTACTACCTACACGTTTCAGCTTAACTATGGAAAAGAAAAAAGATCAATTTAAATTGCTTCATGCCGCCTAAATAAAGCAGGGTTTTTGGCCAGTGTAACAGGTGTTTCAACTCCTGCCTCAACCTATTTAAAATGGGAACGAAGTGGCAAGGTCATGAGGGTGGATGTAAAGATGCATGCATAACTTTTATCTGAAAAACTGACTTTCTTTCCTTCCACACCCAGCCCTTTGCTGGATTATGTGCTTCATCTTAGCTGGTGGGGCTAACTGACAGATGTGGGCCATCCAGCAGAACAACCTTTCTTCATGGAAGGGCCAATGCATTTTGTTTAAATGTACATGTACATACATACATGTATTTGTATCGCCAAAGAACGTGGGTGCTCACTAGAGAGAGAGAGGAAAAGCATTCCCCAGTGGAGCATGGTCATGCCACAATCCTTTTTCCTCCATTTTCCCATCCCATCAGGATTTGGGGCATGTCTGTACACACACCTGGTGTGTTTCTCAAGCTGCCAAAGAACATGGGTGCTCACTAGAGAGAGAAAGAGAGGAAAAGCATTCCCCAGTGGAGCATGGTCATGCCACAATCCTTTTTCCTCCATTTTCCCATCCCATCAGGATTTGGGGCATGTCTGTACACACACCTGGTGTGTTTCTCAAGCTGTAGGAGTGGGGCTCCCACCATGGTCAGCCATAGGGGATCCGACTCCCTGTGCACAATGCTTAACTGCTGCACTATAGGGCTAGCCCAGAAATAAGTTTCATGAAAAAAGAAACAAAACTATCATTTTTTAACTTTGAAAGCTTTTTTGTATGTGTGATTTCTGGTAGAAAAGACGAATGTCAAAAAATAAAAAAGATTTTGGCAAAACTGTATAAAATTCATGCAATCCATCTTGAACTAACAGAGACTTTATTACAGAAAATATATTGCTGGTAAGAACTATTCAAAACAATGCAGGTCACATGATTGCTTTTGTTCTATTTTTGTTTATCCTTAGTAATAATGAATACTTTCCTGTGCTGAATTTTTGTTCTTAGAAATATTATTTAGTCGTAGAAAGGCCATAAGGAAGAATGTGAGTTGTTATACCATACATGTCTTTTCAGAAATTGCAAAAAAGATTCTGTCATGCTGGTTCACAGGAGAAGCCATAGGAAAATCAGTGGACCAGGGAGAGTTTGCTGAGATTGGTGATGAACCGAACCACAGGGTACCAAGGCTGCTGTGAACTGATTGGGCATCCCTGGGAAATAAAATCCGGGATTGTTTGTTAGCTCGGTAGCCACTTAGTGTTCTGTGAGCTTTCTTATTAGACTGCCATCATGTTAACTGCTTAGAGGCAGATGGTCCTTAAGTGACAAAACCTCTGCTATGGGCCATATTGCTGAGTGGTGCTTACCCCTCATGCTCTGGTTGGTCCCATCTGCCCAGACAGGTGTTTATAAACATGATTCTGATGATACCAGTGCAGAGTATGTCCCAGGAAGTGTTCCCTTTAATCCCTGATCCCAGCTACCTCTTTACCACTGAAATAGATTAGAGGAATTCATATGAGGATCATCATAGGCTCCGATTGGAAAAACCATATTAATAATGATTTTGACAGAAGCAGAGTTTGAGCTTCTGATAATTTCTATTTCACCAAACCAACTGAGACTCGGAACTGCAATGAAAAAGAAACAATCTTCCATAGATAATGGCTTCCACCCTGCATGATACTATTAAATCACCATCATTAGCTACTAAAGCGTGTACTACCCATTTTCCAGGGCCTTTTCTCTGCCAAAAGACTTAAGACCAAGAATGATCAATGAATGAGTCATCAGCTTGATAATCATTGGTATAGGACATGCAAATTGAAATTGTCCAGATTTATTTAAATCTATAAGGAATTATTACAGACACTGATATTACCCAGGTATTAAAGTTCTTGTAAGGAGTCCACAGATCATTTCTTTGCTTCTACATTTTGTGAGCCAGAAAGGAACATCCATAAGATGCCTCAAAAAACTAAATAAAATAAAACAAGGAAATTTTGTGCTATTGTCTAGGTACTATGCTGATTGTTAGAGATAGAAAGATAAATAAAGTATAACCACTGTCCTCAACAAGTTTACTGATTTATAAGCGGAGGGGAACACAAAATGCCACAGCAGAGTGTGATGAATACAAAGATCAAAGTGTGTACCTGGCACGCAACAGCACAGCAGGGTATAGTTTGCAGGAGAAAGTTAGGGTATGGGGAGGAAACCAGTCTGCAGAAGGATCTTTGTTTTGCTGAACTAGGACTCTGCATTCTCCCCTTTCTGGAAAACATCTCCTTTCTTTCCTCCTTTCTAGAAATGTTCATATCACAGAGGCAGAGGAAAGATGGTAACCAAAGAAGGGTGAGGTAAGAACAGGTGTTTTGCATAGAGAAAACTAGCTCTTCCTAAGCTGTTTAAAGGTCTAGGTATATTAATTTAAAAATAAAGGTTTTTTAAAAGACAGGGAAATTGTCCCATCCCGATTTATAGGCTGTGCTACTTGTACATTATCGTAATCTCATGCTTATATCAATTTTCTTGTTCCCTCAGGAGATATCTATACTCATTTGAGGTCTGAGGGGAAGGCAAATTCCTAACTGGGACTCTGCTGTGAATATAATTTTTAAATGGCTGCAATCCAATCCACCTGTTCCTAAATCCAGAAGGGCCCGTTTTATTTTTGTTTTTGTTCCCTCCGAAGTTAGTTCACAGATACAATGATAAATACATGACTGAAGAAACTTTCTAACACTGCATGACTTACATCATCTCAACTGCTCTTTTTCTTATTGAAGTAAAAGTATAAATAATATTTAGCATCAAATTCATAATCGTATCCATTTCCAAAATATATAATTCAGTGCGTTTTTAGTATAGTCACAATATCGGGCAACTATCACTGTTTTCTAATTCCATTACCAAAAAACCCCCCAAAACAAGAAAACTCATATCCATGAAGCAGTCCTTCCTTACTCCCTTTGTCCTCCAGCCACAGTAACCACTAATTTCCTCTTGTCTCCATATTTGCCTAACTTGGACATAGAAGTGTCATGGAGTCGGAGCTGTGCAAATGCGTGAACTTTGTATCTGTCTTCTTTTACTTTGTGTCCATCTGTGGACCTTGAAACATATACCAATAACTTTATTCTTTTTCGTGGATGAGTATTATTCTAGTGTACGGATATAACTCAGTTTATTTACTCAGTTGTTTGTTGGATATCTGGGTTGTTCCCATATTTTGGCTATTATGCATAGTGATGGTATAAACATTCCTGGACAAGTTTTTATAAGGACACCTGTTGTCAATTTTGAGAAGTAAATATAGACAGAGGTAAAATTTCAGGGTTATATGGTACTTCTACTTTAAACATGTTGACAACTTGCCAAACTGTTCTCTAAAGGCACTACTTCATTTTCTCTTCCCCACAGCAATGTGTGAGTGTCCCACGTTCTCCACATCCTTGCCAACATTTATTTTCTGTTTTTATTATTCTTATTACTATCCTAGTGGGTGTGAAGGAGTATCTCATTGTCTATCTCTTTTATTGGGTAAATAATCCATTGTTAAAGCCCCTTCAGAAGCAAAAACAAATGTATCCACTTTTGGTCTTCAGGATTTCTTTTTAAAAAAAAAATGATTTGTACATGAGCCACAACTAAATCGAGAGGAGATTTTCCTAAGATGAGCAGCAAATTAAACTTAATGAAATTCTGAACAACAGAGTTGTCTTTTACTAATTCCCACCACTCCATCTCCCTGGAGCCACCGTGATCAAATCCAAGGCATCTAAATGATGATTGTTGAAATGCCAACCCCCAGCCTAGGGCCAGGTGTCTGTAGTCAGTGACTGACACAGACATCTCAGCCACTGTGAGGTTGGCTAGTGAAATGCTCTTCTGGGAGAAACCCACTCTTTTTTTACTTAAAAAAATCTAATGAACATTTATTTTATTTTTCTTTCCATATGGGATGCATTTTTAAAGGAAAAAAAGGCATATAACTAAGCACCAATTCCATAGTCCACTTTGAATAAGGCAATTTGTTCAGATAAAGCAATGGGTTAAACAGCCTGGGTCTTATGAAATTTCAAATTCTATTCTAGCACATTTCTATTAATAATTCAGTGTCCATTACATGCAATCTTATTAGAGTCTGTCCTCATTTATTTCAATCCCTGATTACTTTCGTCTATACACAACAGAAATTATCCTTTCCCTTCCAGGAACACTTGGCTTTGAGAATGTAAACATGTATGTATGTGATTACTGTATAATGCAACAGGGTATTGGGAATTTACTTTTTTGTTTGTTCTTAATTTCCGCATCCATTCCTGTATTCTGGATTATCTGGTACAAATAGCCTTCCTAAACAATTTAGTTTATGTTGCTTTTTAAGCTTTCCTCTCCTTGCTTTAAACTATACTGAGGGGAATAAAAGTCAAGACTTACAGCACAGTAGGTACCACTTTGTTTAGGAGAAGGAGGAACTAAGGGGAAACTGGAGGTAGCAAAGTTTCAAAGAGAATGAGCTCTGGGCTGCAGGTCAATCTTTCTGAAAACTGACAGGAAGTCTTTCAGGTAAAGACTTGCAGGGGCTTGAGGGTCAGAGCAGCATTTATGGGAAAAACAGGAGAGTGGAATGGAGTGTTTTTCTTCCCTAGACTGGTACAGTTGGAAAGACAAAGAGGGCCTAGGCTGGGGATGGTGGAAAGTCTCAAGGATCATTAAAAATCATGGTGATTGCACTTAATAGACACAAAAATAAAAAGTTGTCTGCGGATGATTATGCATATGGTACTGTCTTTGACTTGACTAATGTGCACTGTATTCACGCTGGGAAAAACCATGTTGTACACTGTAAAGATGCAGTGATTAAATGTAAATAATTAAAAAAATAAAAGGCTGAAGAGAAAATAATTCCAGTGATTGAACACTCATTTTTTTCCTTACAGAAAATCATTCCAATGCTAAATGAAGTCAGTGAGCTCCAGGCGTGCCTGCAATGACTTCTTAGTCTTCGGGTTTAGGGAGTGAACTGGAGCCAGGTCACACCTCAAGGGGCCTCAGAAAAGGCTGACATCCTAATACTTTATGGGAAAACCCTAATGTCACCTAGCCGTTTCTGGGCTTAGTGACAGTTCTGGCCATCTGCACCGCCAGCCCCACGTGGATTTGGAGAAGCTATCTCCCCCCTCCCCGCCCCGCCCAGGCCTTCACACTCGCCTCCCGCCGGGCCGCCAACTCTCCAGGGTACAAAGTACAGCCGGGACGCCAGCGGGCGGAGCCGTTCCGAGCCGCGCGGCCTTATCTTTTCGGAGTGAGCACCTAGATGGATTTCCAATACCGCGTCCGGCACGTTCCGGAGGGAGCCTCAGGCTCCTCCCGAGCAGCCAGCCTCGCGTCCTCGTTTCTGCAGTCAGTATTCCTGTGGGAGACGAGGGCGGCTCTGGGCGCTCCAAGCTTGATTACCAGAGGCGCAATGGTTTACTCAAAGCCCCGAACAGTCCCGCCTGCAAAGAGCTGCCTGTGGTGTGATAACGCAGAGCTCCCAACGCACGGTGGGTGTCCTTCATCCTCATAGCGCTCTCGGGTTAGGGTCCGTTTTCGCCACTCTCAAGTATTTGCGTGGTCACCTGTGCTGGGGCCCGGCCCCGAGAAGGGAGTCGGACCTCGCGAAGAACGTCAACGCGCCTCTAGCGCACATGCACTTGGCCCCGGCCATCTACGCGGCGCTCTGGAGGTAGCGTCTGGGTAAGGAGTCGGGAGCTGAGGTGGGACTGCCCAGCAGAGCAAGCAGCGATGGGCAGGGGTCCGGGGCGGCGGGATAGGACAGAAACTGACGTTACCCCCAAGAGGCGGCAGCAACCGTGGGAAGCTCCGCTGTGGTCTTTGCTTTGGATAGGAGCAGAGTGGGATGGGACTGACTCTACGCCCTAGGCTCTTACCCACCTCTAGGAAGGCAGAGGAACTCCCCAGATCCCTCTAAGGGATGGATAAAGGGTGCTACGAGGAAACCCCGGAAGTAGCTGCTCTAGTGGTGATAGGGAGGGACTGGGGAAGGGTGCTACGAGGAAACCCCGGAAGCAGCTGCTCTAGTGGTGATAGGGAGGGACTGGGAAAGGAAAAAAAACAGGGGGGGTGGGGCAGGACAAACCACCTATGTACCTCTTCTCCCCTTCCCCCCTCCTCCCCCGCTTTTTCGTAGTTGCTGACGCGCTGGCGGTGCCTGTTAATCATTCACCAGCCCAGAGCCGGGCCAGTTAATGGCTGTGCGGCTCCGGGCTCCAGCCTCCTGGCCCTCCCTCTCCACGCTCGCGTGTGTCCCGGCGCCCGGAGCTGCAAGCTGCAGCGCCCAGGCAGCCGCTGGGCGATGCGTCCCGGCGGCGCGGATCCGAGCCGCGTTCTCGCCAGTCTTTGCGCTCTACCCAGGGTAGTGGAGCGGCTGTGAGCTGCTGGAGAGCGGAGCGGTCGGGCGCCCAGGGAGGGCGCTAGGAGAGCTCCCCAGCCCTGGTAGCCCCACTGCCCCCCTCGGCTGGGATGTTCCCCAATGGCACCGCCTCCTCTCCTTCCTCCTCTCCTAGCCCCAGTCCCGGCAACTGTGGCGAAGGTGGAGGCAGCAGGGGCCCTGGGGCCGGCGGTGCGGACGGCATGGAGGAGCCGGGGCGAAACGCGTCCCAGAACGGGACCTTGAGCGAGGGCCAAGGCAGCGCGATCCTCATCTCCTTCATCTACTCCGTGGTGTGCCTGGTGGGGCTGTGTGGGAACTCCATGGTCATCTACGTGATTCTGCGCTACGCCAAAATGAAGACGGCTACCAACATCTACATCCTAAACCTGGCCATCGCCGATGAGCTGCTCATGCTCAGCGTGCCCTTCCTGGTCACCTCCACGTTGTTGCGCCACTGGCCCTTCGGCGCGCTGCTCTGCCGCCTCGTGCTCAGTGTGGACGCGGTCAACATGTTCACCAGCATCTACTGTCTGACTGTTCTCAGCGTGGACCGCTACGTGGCCGTGGTACACCCCATCAAGGCGGCCCGTTACCGTCGGCCCACCGTGGCCAAGGTGGTGAACCTGGGCGTGTGGGTGCTATCGCTGCTCGTCATCCTGCCCATCGTGGTCTTCTCGCGCACTGCGGACAACAGCGACGGCACGGTGGCCTGCAATATGCTCATGCCTGAGCCCGCCCAGCGCTGGCTGGTGGGCTTCGTGCTGTACACGTTTCTCATGGGCTTCCTGCTGCCCGTCGGGGCCATCTGCCTCTGCTACGTGCTCATCATTGCCAAGATGCGCATGGTGGCCCTCAAGGCCGGCTGGCAGCAGCGTAAGCGCTCAGAGCGCAAGATCACCCTAATGGTGATGATGGTGGTGATGGTGTTTGTCATCTGCTGGATGCCTTTCTACGTGGTGCAGCTGGTTAACGTGTTCGCTGAGCAGGACGACGCCACGGTCAGCCAGCTGTCGGTCATCCTTGGCTACGCCAACAGCTGCGCCAACCCCATCCTCTACGGCTTCCTCTCGGACAACTTCAAGCGCTCTTTCCAGCGCATCCTGTGCCTCAGCTGGATGGACAACGCCGCGGAGGAGCCGGTCGACTACTACGCCACCGCCCTGAAGAGCCGCGCCTACAGTGTGGAGGACTTCCAGCCGGAGAACCTGGAGTCCGGAGGCGTTTTCCGGAACGGCACCTGCACGTCCCGGATCACGAC